CAGAGTCTTTGTTCATCTTTGTTTGTCCTCCTACTCTGTGTCTTGAACCTCTGGAGGTAAGTTTTGGTTTGAGATCTCAAAAACTTGGTTTTGCATTTGGGTATCAGAGCTCTGATATGGGGACTTTGTGGAAGACTGGACACAGCATTCCTTCCCAAGTCCAGGACTCCCACGAGACATTGTCGGGTCCTTTGGTTTGGAATTGTTTGGAATTTGACATGTCCACTTGTCTCTGTCTTTTGTGTGCTGCCAGTCGCACGTTATTAGTCATGGTCCTGCCATGAGCTTGCCATAGTGTGACATGATAAGTATATGCCATCCCATGTCTCTAACCTTATTGTGCTACTTGTCCTAATACTGGCCATAGGATTGGTATCCGCTGCCCCAAGTGATTGCACCAAGACAGAAAAATTTTTTCTGGCACTCCTATACCTCCTGTCAATAGGGTGTTTCCTAGCAATCTCATTGAGTTGGTGTACCTTTTAGATTGATTTTTTCTGCCCCAATTCCCAAAAAGTGAAGATATTTTGTGCATCAGTTTCTGTAGTCTAGATTAGTATTATGGGAAAGAATATCTCCCAGCCCGTTTGTGGGGCCACCCCTTTACAGGCAATGATAACTCACTTGGGTTACTTTCAGAAAAAGGCTGCCAATTTCGGGGCTTCAGCAGACCCCTATGACCTCAAAAAACTTTGGGAATTAGAATGGCCCACATTTGGTGTGGGATGGTCCCCATATGGGACCATTGATCTCCCAACAGCCTATCAAGTACAGGGTTGCTGTGTTGGGACTCCTCCCCAGTTTACCCCGATCAGGTTCTCTATATTCAGGTTTGGATAGAGATCATGGATGAGATGCCCTCCTGGTTGAAACAGTGCCTTCAGCCCTGACTCAGGAAACCCACGTCTGCCTATCTGGGTGGTTGGGAGGACAAACAAGATGGCAAAAAGAGGGATAAGAAAAAGGAAAAAAATTTGGTGACTAAGTGCCCTCTTCCAACCAGACTCCCTAAGCCTCCTGTTCTCCAGGATGCCTCTGAGAACCTTTTGATCTTTCTTCCCCTGTTCCTGTCTCTCCTAGCGCACCCCCCCTTACCCTACTTCTCCTGACTCTACTGTACTCTTAAGTCCCCCACATACAAGGAGCGGTACCACTTATCAGACCAGGAGGGACTCTGAGTCTGATCCTTCTCCTTCTGGTGCTTCCCTCGTACCTCTGCTCCCACTCCAACAGGCTCCCTTCCCCCTGGAACTCAAGACCAAACCCCCTTCATGGTCTATATTCCCTTCTCCACTAATGATTTGTATAATTGGAAGAACCAGAACCTTCCTTTTCTGAAAGGACACACGGTCTCATCTCCCTCTTGGGGACTGTGTTCTTTGCACACCAGCCCACCTGGGATAATTGCCAGCAGCTCCTCCAGACTCTCTTCACGTCAGAGGAATGTGAGTGCATCCACCAGGAGGCCTTAAAGACTGTTGCAGGTCATGATGGCCAAACCTCTGATGACCCTGTTCATCTTGAATGTGTGTTCCCCTCAAACAGACTCCAGTGGGACCCAAACACAGATCAAGGTAAGGGGGTTCTCCATCCATATCACCAGACTCTCCTTAGAGGACTCCATGCAGTTGCCTAGAGACCCACAAGCCTTTCAAAGGTAAGCAAAACAATTCAGTGACCAAATGAGTCCCAGCCACTTTTTTGGAGTGCCTCATGGAAGCTAATAGGGTCTACACAACTGTGGACGCTGAGGCTCCAGAAAACAGGTGGGCAATAAATATTGCCTTTATTATTCAGTCAGCCCCTGATGTTAGGAAGAAACTTCAGAGGCAGGGAGGATTTGAAGGGAAACTGTTATCTGAGCTAGTTGAAATAGCCCAGAGTGTCTATAATGCCAGAGATAGCTCAGAAGAAAAACAAACAAAAAGAATGGCTAAAATAATGGTAACTGCGCTTACTGAGTCCCAAAGATGTGAGGCCTCAAACAGGACAGAAGGGAAACTCCTCCAGAAGGTCCAGGGACCCTCTAGAGAAGGACCAATGTGTGTTCTGTAAGAAGAAAGGCCATTGGAAGGACAAATGCCCCCTACTAAATAAGAAGAATGCCCTCGTCCTACAGATAGATAATTCTGAAAACTGACAGGACCAGGGCTCTATACTTATGAGCCCCCAGGAGCCCAAGGTAACTTTACAAGTAGGGGGCAAGCCAATGGACTTCCTTGTAGGCACAGGGGCCACCTATTCTGTTCTAACTGAAACCGATGGACATTTATCTGCTAGAAAAACCTTGCTCCAGGAGGCTACAGGAAAGTTTCAATCCTGCCCTAGACCAAGGCAAGAATTACTAACCTAGGACAAAGAACTATTACTCACTCCTTCCTTGTCATGCCAGATTGCCCATACCCACTGCTGGGAAGGGGCTTACTGCACAAGCTACAGGCCACCATATCTTTCAAGGGGAACACAATGGGACTGACTCTTAATCCTGCACCCCTTACCCAAATAATGATAACATGCCCAATCAATGAAGAATATATGGTAGTCACGAAGGCTCCCTTGCCCACTGACTCAAGTTCCACCTTGGAGGAACTAAAGAAAGAAATTCCAGGAGTATGGGCAGAAACAAACCCCGCAGGCATAGCCATTCATCGACCCCCCATCATGGTTCAGCTTACAAGCCAGGCTATTCCTATCTGAGTGAAGCAATATCCAATCCACATCTAGAGACTAAAAGAAGCTAATATTCTAGTTCCATGTAAGTCGGCATGGAATACTCCTCTCCTCCCAGTACAAAAACCAGGTACTTCAGATTTCTGACCCGTTCAGGATCTACGGAAAGTGAACAAACACGTGGAGACCCTCCATCCAACCATCCTGAATCCCTACCCCCTCCTTAGCCTACTGCTGCCATCTCACCAGAGCTACACTGTGTTAGACCTTAAAGATGCCTTCTTCAGCCTCCCACTGGCCAAGGTAAGCCAACCTTTATTTGCTTTTGAGTGGACAGATCCAGAGGGGGAATATTCGGGACAACTGACATGGACACGGTTATCTCAAGGGTTTAAAAATTCCCCAACTTTGTTTGATGAAACATTGAGCCAAGATCTCATGCCATAGTGAAAACAACATCCTGAGGTCACTCTGCTACAATATGTAGATGACCTTTTGTTGGCCATTAAAGACTATGAGACCTGCAAGGAGGCCACAAAAGACTTATTATGAGAGTTACAAATCCTGGATAGTGAAAACAACATCCTGAGGTCACTCTGCTACAATATGTAGATGACCTTTTGTTGGCCATTAAAGACTATGAGACCTGCAAGGAGGCCACAAAAGACTTATTATGAGAGTTACAAATCCTGGGGTATCGAGTCTCAGCTAAAAAGGCTCAATTATGTACCCCAAGAACCACCTACCTAGGGTACAAACTACAGAGAGGAAATAGAACTTTGTCCTCCAGAAGAATAGAGGCAATTCTAAAGATCCTAATCCCAAAGACTAAGAAAGAGGTCTGTGAATTCTTGGGTGCTGTAGGTTATTGCCGCCTATGGAAACCTGGGTTTGCTGAAATAGCTAAGCCCTTGAACTCTAGCACTGGGGGAAAACAAACCTCCCTGCTATGGACTGAGATTGAACAAAAGGCTTTCAATGACTTGAAAAAGGCACTTACCATGGCTCCTGCCCTAGCACTACCAGACATAAATAAACCCTTCACCCTGTTTCTTGCTGAGAAACATGGCGTAGCCAACGGAGTACTTACCCAGACCCTGGGTCCATGGAAAAGGCCTGTGGCCTACCTCTCCAAGAGATTGGATAATGTAGCTGCTGGATGGCTGGCCTGTCTCTGGGCTATAGCTGCAACCACTTTATTGTTGAAGGAAGCAGACAAACTAACCCTAGGGCAGAATATAAGCCTGGTAGCACCTCACTCTGTACAAGCTCTCCTGAAAAGTGCACCTGAGCATTGGCTCACCAATGCCCACATCACTCAATACCAGGCTTTACTCTTAGACCAGCCTTGAATAAGGTTTCTTAAGACTACAGCTCTGAATCCAGCGACTCTCCTCCTGGATGATGACCTGGAGAAACCCCTCCATGACTGCCTTGAAACTATAGAAACCCTGCAAGGACTCCGACCCAACTTGACTGACCTACCTTGGCCAGACCCTGATGAGGTGATGTTCATGGATGGGAGCGGCTTCATCTCCAAAGGAATCAGGTACACTGGGGCAGCTGTAGTCACACGGGAACAGGTCATCTGGGCACAGGCTTTAAATCAAGGGATATTCACTCAAAAGTCTGAACTCGTAGCCTTAGCACAAGCTCTAATACATGGAAAAGACAAAACTGTCAACATATACACTGACAGTAGGTATGCTTTTGCCACAGCCCACATACACGGGGCCCTTTATAAACAAAGAGGGCTAATAACATCGGGAGGAAAAGACATAAAAAACGAATAGGAGATTCTAGCTCTCCTCAAGGCCATATGGTATCCTAAAAAGGTGGCCATTATCCATTGCCGAGGACACCAAACAGGTGACTCAATTGAGGCCCAAGGAAATGCCACAGCAGACTGAGCAGCAAAAGAGGCCACACTGAAACCAGTGGGGCCATCAAATTCTTTAGTAGTCATGCCGGCACCCCAGCTGCCACCAGTCCCACATTACACTGCAGAAGAAATCATACATGCCAAAGCACTGGGCACTAAGAACAATGATACAGGTTAGAAAGTCTCACCAGATCACCAAATATATCTACCTAAAGCACTAGGAAGATTATTAATAGAACAGCTACACCAAGGGACACACCTCGGAGCTACCAAATTGACTGAATTGTTGTGGAAAAATTATTATATTCACAAATTGGACAAATTAACAAAAGACTTTGTACAACAATGTAAAGTTTGTTCACAAGTAAATTCAGGACGAAAACCAGAAGCACCTACAGGAACCAGAGCACGGGGATCTAACCCTGGAGAACATTGGGAAGTGGACTTCACCGAGGTGAAACTGGGACAGTATGGGTACCGACATGTCTTGGTATTTATAGACACCTTTTCTGGGTGGGTGGAAGCTTTTCCTACAAAGACTGAAACTGCTCACGTAACACTTAAGAAATTATTACAGGAAATTATTCCCCAATTCAGTCTGCCTATAACTTTTGGGTCTGATAATGGTCCGGCTATCATAGCCCAAATTTCTCAATTATTAGCAAAAGCCTTACAAATAAAATGGAACTTACACTGTATTTATAAGCTACAGAGTTCAGCACAGGTGGAGAGGATGATTCGGACTTTAAAGGAAACTTTTACTAAAGTAAAATTGGAGACTGGTGAAAACTGGGTGATCCTCCTTTTCTTTGCCCTATTAAGGGCTAGATGTGCCCCATACATAAAGGGAATCACCCCATATGAGGTTATGTTTGGGAGACCACCTCCTTTGCTACCCCACCTCAGAGATGACAAACTTGCTGAGCTTACTAACCATAACCTCCTGCAGTCTCTCCAAGCCCTCCAGCAGGTGTTCAACCAGATCCATCCCTCGGTCGAGAAGCCTACCTGCCAGCAAAGGATCTGATGCCACATCCATACCTACCAGGTGACCTCGTATGGGTGGAACATCACCATCCTTTGACCCTTGGACCTAGATGGCAAGGACCTTACCCCATAGTCTTGACCACCCCGACGGCTGCAAAGGTAGCAGGAAATTGCCGTTGGATACATCATTCTCAACTTAAGTGAGCCTCCACTCTGGAATCAACAGAACTAGGAAAACATCAGGAAAAATGGACCATGCAACGCTCCAAAGGAGACCCACTAAAGATAAGACTCACTCGCTCGTCCCCTTAACTGTTTTAATTGTTTTATATTGTGTAATATCTATGTCAGGAAGTCCTCAATAACCTAAGAATTACACCTGGGAATTAAGGGATACTGTCATTGGGGAGGTTATTTGGTCTGTCCACATCCCCGGTGCCCCCATTTTCCTAGTAGACCTATGTGAGCTCATGACTGGAACCAGATTTGGGTCCTACATCATTTGTAACACTCAAGATGAGAAAAACCTCCAACAAGCCCAATTCTATGCCTGTCCTGCAACTAGCAGCCCTTCCTGTCAGGGGCACCAACAATATCACTGTGTTGCTTGGGGTTGAGAAACCGAGGCCTCCTGGACTCACACAGACTTCTGTATTGCCCTCAGAAAACTCCCACCCTCAGGTTGTAGTGAGCCAAGGACAGGCAATCCTATGAACCTAACTGTCAGACTTTGGGGTCCATTTATGAGTGATACTTGGAAGGCAGGCAAGACCTGGGGCATAAGACTATATGTTAATAGAATAGATCCTGGGGGAGAATTCACTATTCAACTAAAAAGAAAAAAAATCAATTAAACGTCCCTGTAGGCCCTAACCAGGATCTCCTACCCCTTCCTTCACGTTCCCTGAACCCTAACCTGTCCCCCCAAGCTCCAACACCCCAGTCCCTCAACTGCACCTCTGGTTATGCTTTCACCAACCGCATCTTAGGAACTTTAGGTTCAGTTTTTATGTTTATCAACCAATCAAACCCAAATGTAACAACTAATTGCTGCTTATTCCTAAACCCAGAGCCACCATATTATGTTGGCCTAGGGATGAACTACTCTTTAGGCACTAATAACCAAACTGTTAGGTCTCTGAGTCTAACTGAAATCACCAAAGACAGACTCCGTCCATGGGGACGAAAGCTCAGACTCATGCTTGGTGGTACACAAAACCAAGGACTTCGTATAAAAACTAATGATTATGACCTCAAAAGGTCCCCCTATCAGACCACATGTACATATGTGGTAACCATTAATAGTACGACCCACGGGTCACAAGTTTCTAACTACCTGTTGCCCCTTCTCATGCTTGGTTTGCTTGTTTGACAGGATTGACTCCATGCATAGCTATTCAATATTTCCTTACACCTATCTAAGCCTGAGTTTTGTGTACTTGTCTATATTATTCCCCCAATTTATTACTATGAAGGAGAAGCAGGGAGGCAGCCTCTCCTCCTAAAACAAGCAGTTCCTGTCTTGATTCCCCTATTTGTAGGTCTNATTAATAGAACAGCTACACCAAGGGACACACCTTGGAGCTACCAAATTGACTGAATTGTTGTGGAAAAATTATTATATTCACAAATTGGACAAATTAACAAAAGACTTCGTGCAACGATGTAAAGTTTGTTCACAAGTAAATTCAGGACGAAAACCAGATGCACCTACAGGAACCAGAGCACGGGGATCTAACCCTGGGAGAACATTGGGAAGTTGACTTCACCGAGGTGAAACCGGGACAGTATGGGTACCGATATCTCTTGGTATTTATAGACACCTTTTTTTGGGTGGGTGGAAGCTTTTCCTACAAAGACTGAAACTGCTCAGATAACACTTAAGAAATTGTTACAGGAAATTATTCCCTGATTCAGTCTGCCTATAACTTTTGGGTCTGATAATGGTCCGGCTATCATAGCCCAAATTTCTCAATTATTAGCAAAAGCCTTACAAATAAAATGGAACTTACACTGTATTTATAAGCCACAGAGTTCAGCACAGGTGGAGAGGATGATTTGGACTTTAAAGGAAACGTTTACTAAACTAAAATTGGAGACTGGTGAAAACTGGGTGAGCCTCCTTTTCTTTGCCCTATTAAGGGCTAGATGTACCCCATATATAAAGGGAATCACCCCATATGGAATTATGTTTGGGAGACCACCTCCTGTGCTACCCCACCTCAGAGATGACAAACTTGCTGAGCTTACTAACCATAACCTCCTGCAGTCTCTCCAAGGCCTCCAGCAGGTGTTCAACCAGATCCATCCCTCGGTCGAGAAGCCTACCTGCCAGCAAAGG